TTTGATTTTGTCCTGGTTAGATCCTTTATTGAAGTGCTGGAAGCGATGGCGACTCTGGTGTTAGCTTGTGAAAGTACTTTAGAAACGTTCAGTGCAACCTGGCTGTTGGGAAGAATTTTAACTTTGTTGGGAGTGGTGTTGGTGTGTGGAGAATTAATAATCTGAAGAGCTCTTTTCTTGCAGTCTTTGATGAAAAAGAAAGGAAAATGTAACTCAGTGAAGGTTTGGTGAATGTATGTACATTCCTCGTCAAGAAACTCAGGACTACAAATTCGGTATGCTCTTAGGAAAAACCCGATGATGATGCCTCTTTTGGTCTTAGTATCTTCACTGGAATAGAAGTGTGTGAGATCATTTTTATTGGTAGGTTTCCGCTTTGTCCATCATTTTAGTGTTGTAGTCACTGGTGTTGAGTATGACGACTCCACCTCCTTTGTCGGCGGTGGTGACGATAATGTTGGGGTTGTTGGCGAGGTCCTTAACTGACTACGAGAAACAAACACTGAGCCTCGGACTCAAATTTACCACCAACATATGCAAACCTAACTATCAACTCAACCTAGTTACCAGGAACCATAGACACAGTGACGGCAACTTCCAGAAGGGTTATATACAGGGCATTCTCACTACAGCTTTATGTGAACCTTCTTCTTCTAATCTTCCTAGATGATACATCACTGCCCTTAAGGACCTCGCCAACGACCCCAACATTATCGTCACCACCGCCTGCAAAGGAGGTGGAGTCGTCATACTCAACACCAGTGACTACAACACTAAAATGGACAAAACGGAAACCTACCAATAAAAATGATCTCACACACTTCTATTCCAGTGAAGATACTAAGACCAAAAGAGGCATCATCATCGGGCTTTTCCTAAGAGCATACCGAATTTGTAGTCCTGAGTTTCTTGACGAGGAATGTACATACATTCACCAAACCTTCACTGAGCTACATTTTCCTTCCTTTTTCATCAAAGACTCCAAGAAAAGAGCTCTTCAGATCATTAATTCTCCATGCACCAACACCACTTCCAACAAAGTTATAATTCTTCCCAACAGCCAGGTTACACTGAACGTTTCTAAAGTACTTTCACAAGCTAACACCAGAGTTGCCATCACTTCCAGCACTTCAGTAAAGGATCTAACCAGGACATCATCAAAGCACCACGAACCAGTCAATGCAGGGGTTTACACTATACCCTGTGGAGGCTGTGACAAGATTTAAGTAGGTGAAACAGCAAGAAACCTCGACACCCGCTTCAACGAACACATTTACGCATGTAGGAACGATAACTTGAACAACGCCTGTGTCCAACACCGAAATTCCACCAATCATCTCATGAAATTCAGGGACGAACAATTAGTGATCAAAGAAACTAATTTCCGCAGATGCAAGTGCCTCGAATCAGCACTAATCGCTGTTTCGAATACAATTAAAACAAAGGCAGCTTCACCATCTCTGAAGTTTTAGCAAGAATCCTCCTGAAAACAGTAAGCCCTGCCATCACATAGTCTCTCCTGTTAATACTACACAAAGCACATTACAGAGAGTGAACAATGAAAAAGGCTTTCTCTATCCAGTCTATATTTGTCTAACCTATTTTTATGTTGCCCAAGTAATAGCTTTTATATCTTTTACTCATGTACGAGTTAATTGCTCTACCATATTGTATTACTACTACTACAACTTATGTCACTACTACTACTACTACCACTAGTATTGCACCTCACTCTGAGCCTATATATATATATACCCTCTGTGTCCATGTACTGTTTGTAACAGCTTGACAAAGCTCCTGGAGAGCAAAACGTTGCCACAATAAAATGTCACATTAGTTGCACTTGTGTCCTTTTACTTTACACAGTTGTAGTTCCTTAATCAAGAGCCCCCTCACTAGCATCAAGGAACCTTCTTTGAAGGATCCTAAATAAAAAGTTACTTAAGATCTACTGCACTAAGTTACATACACTGAGAGGTGTATATTTTTGGTGTATTTTGTATGCTGAAAATTAACTACTATATTTCCTTTCAAGGGATTAAATTATCCTGGGTATAAAATGTAACAGGTTAAGTGCAGCCTTAATGACCCTTGTGATAAACTAAACCCTATGCACCATTGTCTTGTGAGTCAACGTTAAGATCAAGGTCAGTTACACAGTTCATTGTAAGCAACACCCCCGGCCATCTTTTCATTTGAGCGGATGTTGTGGTGTTAAGCTTACTGATCAAGGGATAATAATGATGATAATATGCATCCTCTTCTAGTTACCATATTTGAATTTTGAAAGATTCTCTGGGGAAGTGGGGTGTATCTGCTCAAACAGTATTAACATGTGTAATTTACTATGTACTTTTCATTGTATGCAATGAGAATCGTAAACATAGCAACATACAGAATCCTACTACATATCTGACTCAGTATACCCTGACTCTGACTCTGCCTACTGTGAATGATGCATAACCTCTTAAACTTTTTTAAATTCAACCATACCTTGCAATAAGGTGATATGAATACATGTAATATATAATTTTGCAAGTATGCTATACTGTGATGTTCTAATGACTGGGTTCATGTTTGCAAAAACAAGTCATTATTAATTTAACCACATAAACATTTAAATAGTTCATTACCACTTTTCTTAGCTTTCAAAACTATGAGGCCCCAGTCCTTCAACCTATTATGTGCCTATGTAATCTTTTGACTACAATTCACAGGATGGTTATAGAATGCTATAATGCATAATAAACCTGAATTCAACCAATGACTTGGCTTTACAAAACATAAATAACAGTGAATCTAGATACTGGATTCAACATTAATGAATGTAAGCAATAACACAATAAGGAAGCCAGATATCAGACTCGGCACTTAATAACATAAACACAAGACCACAAGAATGAAGGAACACTGCAGTAAGCCTGTTGGCCCATGCTAGGCAGGTGTAACTCACATGCATACTCACTTAAGTACCTGTCCAACCTATATTTAAAGCTATCCCAAGTAAACAAAAATATGCCAAAAAAAGAACTCAGAATCATTGGTCGTGAACATAAGCAATAAGTACATACAGGAGGGCCCCAATTATAGAGCTCCCTCTTTTCGGTATTCCACATTTTCGTTAGCTTTCAATTGAGTCACTGTTCGTTACGTTCAGTACTTTTACTACCTTTCTGCCATTATCACCGTTTTTTGTACATCGGTTGCATAAGGGAAGGACGCCTTGTGCCGTATTGTATGTAAAGTCAGTTCCTGATCAGCCGGGCTGTGGCTCGTACATTGGTTTGCGTGCAGCCAGCAGCAACAGCCTGGTTGATCAGGCTCTGATCCACCAGGAGGCCTGGTCACAGACTGGGCCGCGGGGGCGTTGACCCCCGGAACTCTCTCCAGGTAAACTCCAGGTGCTGTGTATTTATATTACTCTTATCTTTTTTATACTTAGCTGTATTGAACACTTAATATATGATAGTGTAAATACGTTATCAGGCATTTTAGACATATTCGATAATGAAAAACCACTCTTTTCCACCTGCTGTACTGATTCTATATGCCTGACAAGGTGTTCAAGTTCTTAAACTAAAACATACTGACCTAACTGCGGTGGTGTTCAGACATATTGCTCAGTCGTCACTCATCAAGGGCAGTTCATGAGGACAGGAAGGACTCACCAGTCTGGCTCCCTGAGCCCCCATGAGGATGGGAATATAGCTGGATTGGCCCCATAAGCACAAACTCTGTCATGAACCTCCCACCATCAGCATCAGATTGTGACTGCAATCCATCCCAAGCCAGGGATGGAACAATCATCACTAGTACACAACCAATCATTCCTCATGAGCCAGTGTCAGCACAGTGTTCCTCAAAAACATAACAGCTTTGTCCTGCATTAGTTTTGTTCATAATCATGGGGAAACACTAAACATGTAGGGTTTATGCAGCACTTGAGGAATAGAAGGCAGTAAGGTTCAATCCAAGGAAGGAGAGGAAAAGTCTGGCTCTTTGAATCAAGAGTCTCAGCAGGGGCACCCTGTTCTGAGAATGGGTGATTATGTGCTGATCATTCTCTCCCTGGAACACTAGAGGTGGGAAGTAGTGCTTACACTCTGAATGTACTCTTGAATGCTCCTGCAGACTACAATGACTGAAGCCTACAACTCTCTCTGCACACCAGTGGCCAGTGACAGTCTACTGCTGATCTGGCCTTCTGGATGTCTAATCCACTACTGGAGGTACCCTGATGCCAGTGAAGAACTCTTGATCAAAGAAACTGGAACTAGACTCTCATTAAATATATCAAACTTCATTGCTTCTCATTCTTCAGGTACTGTATAACCCTTATGGGTTTAGTGCTTCCCCATGAATATAATAACTAACTAGACAAAGGGGCTATGTTAATCAGCCTAACTGCCTTGTTTGAGAGCTCACCTTTCTGCAGTTGTTCACAGGTATATTATATTAAAGTGCTGAACCCGTATACATCAAACAGTTAACGTTGATCTTAACTGCCTGAATGAGCACTTGCCTCACAGCCTCTCACTCAGGAGGTGAGAGGCAGGGAGGCCTGTGCTGAGAATATCTATGCAGTTGATAAAAATATACATCTTCAACATTTTTTCTGGCCTTTTCCTATTGACATTATTCTTCTTGAGGAGGTCCACTAAGTTTTCATATAAAACTTCCTTTCTTTTCATATTTTTCATCCAATGACTACTGAGGTAGATGTTCATACTCGCTCCAAGGCTCGGCTACCCTTATCAAAACATTATCTTCACAGTTTCCAATTCCACAAGTGGAAATGAGTTCTTTTGAGCTGGAAGCACAGCAGAATGTGCAAAACTGGAACAGTTAACTGTCAGAACATATACTGTCTGCTTTATGTAGTCGTTGACTTGATGAAGGTTATCCAGTCTGAAATGTTGGGGTAGTGTTGCACATTCTACTCTGATTCCATGACGACTATTCAAAAGCAGGTTGCAGAATGGAAAAATAATAACAAAGAGTAAGATTTTATTATAGCATTTTTATTAATTTTTATTAACAACTTAATTACAAAATGAAGTAAATTTAACAGTTCATTATATTGGCATGTACCCAACTACACCTACCATCTGACTTACGACCTTGTTTTCTATGCCAAGTTTCTGGGAAATAAAAAAGTGTTTGTGTTGTACACAGTGTTTATCCTAAATCCTTACAATATAAAATACAGTACTAACAGCATAAAAAGTAAAGTAAAAAATGAAATACCAAAATAAAACAATAAAATAAAGTCATTACAAAATGTGATGTTAATATTCAGTAGTAAGGTTCAACTTACGTCCATTTCGACTTACGACTGGTTTCTCGGAACCGAACTTGGTCGTAAGTCGGATGGTACCTGTACAATAATACATTTTGCATTACATAAGCAATTAATAAAAGTAGAACTTTTTATCAGCAGAACTCTGTGGCATTCAACTGTTTAAATTGCAGGATTTTTAATTACACAGTATACAAAATTGCAAGATGCGTTACTTCCTGAATTTCTTGTCCTTCTTCTTGCTTTTGATACGCTTTCGAACACCCAGGCTTTCTTCAGTGTCATCGTCCATGAGTTCTCGCTTTTTGCCCTTCTTGCCACTTTTCACATCCAGCCGAGACATTTCCTATAAAGATTCAGTACGTATAGCATTGACAGGCAAAGTACATACAATCTAGGTTCTTATAAATAATTCTTTAAAAGAAAAAATATATGTACCGTTGTATACATTTAAAATATAAAACCTTAAGTAAATTGAGAGGAAACATGCAAATGTGCCCTCCTATTATCCCTCTCCCTACTCACTTCCTGCTATTCTTCCTCATCCACTCTCCTCTTTTAATCCCCTGGACCTCCTTAAGCATCCAGCTATGTATTTCACTTTTACTACCCCCCCTACCAATCCCCTTCCCCATTCCCTAACTACAACCTGTTTCATTCCTTCTTTACATTAACTTTTCACATCCAAATTACCTCTCCTCCTGTTGTCTTTCCCATCTTCCATAGAGACTTCATTCAATACATAGCCATAACTGATGACCCCAAGTGATTGTAACTGTCGTGTGCAACCTGACACTGAACAGATCTCAATAAGCATTACTTCAATACAGCAGTAAAAAACTGCAACAAGCTAGACAACAACAAAGTAGGGGCTAACTCCATACAAAGACTGAAATATAAATATGACTGAAGCTAATTCACTGCAATGAAAGCTGAGGTAAGCCCAAGAGCTGGAGTTCCTTCTCCTCCCTACCCCTGCAAGCTCTGTGGGTACAGTGCTTGTCATTAAAGTATGCTGCCCCCTCTAAAATCAAATTCACAAAATTGGTTGTCCATTGAACTTAAGGAATCTTTCAACTGTCTAGGAAGTGATTAACACACTCTCTTCTGGGTTTTTGGAGTAAATTTCCTCATGACTTGGGGATGGCATAATAAAACTGTAGGAGTGGGTTGATATCCTTTTTCCCTAGTAGATCTCTCTCTTTGTCTTGGCCCAGAAGTGCTGAATGGGGGTTCAAGTCTGGGGAATTTCCAGTCCAGTCATTGAAGAAGGGTGCCCTAGAGGCACAAGGCCACTAAGCAACAGATTTTGCAGTGTGGCAAAGAGTTGCTATCTTGCATAAAAACCTTGAACCACACTACATCAAAGATTCAGGTAACTGAGCAATGCTAGGTACATTATTATCTAGGCTTCCTTGGACATGTTGCTGGTGTGGGCATGTCATCAACGATGTCCTCAATGAACAGAATAACCAGGTCCTCACTGAACGCTCTGACACCTTGCTGGCGTCTACTGTTTCCATCGTTTGATGGCCTGCCTTATGTAAACCAATGAACTGTATGATTGTCACTTGTGTCGGACTTATCCCTCCCCACATTAATTCATCAATAACCAAAAATGTCTGGCAAACTCAGCCCTCAAGACTACACAGTGCAGGGGAACCAGGCAACACATAAATCTGTGAACCCACACAGGCCCAGAAAGCACTTAGGATGCAGCCAGTAGTCTCAAGAAATCCTGAGATGTCCCACTTCAAGTTGCAAGACCAGCATAACCGATTATTTCACTGACAAACCTACCAGAGTAGGGTATTACTTTTGAACATTATATTATGCCAGATGCCATTTACCCAGTGTACTTTAATGATGAGCAATGCAATTACAACTGCACCTATGTAGAAATGCACAAATAAAGAGGAACTTTAAACAGAAGCATGTACAATGAAAGAATAGTAAAGTTTAACACTTAAATAGGTACATAATTACTAAGAGTATGGAAGCTGGGTGTACTGTGCAAAAAAAAAAAGGAGATAGATGCAAGAGAGAGATTTAATATCTATCATGTTGAAAAGGAAAAACATGAAATTCTAAGTCTAGTAATATAATATGAAGGCTGTACCTTAAGCCTTCAGGTATCAAGCAAGTACTTGAGGCAATAAAGTTTACACATAAAGTTGTACATACCAAACCATACCCCCGGCCGGGATTGAACCCGCGGTCATAGAGTCTCAAAACTCTAGCCCGTCGCGTTAGCCACTAGACCAGCTAACGCGACAGGCTGGAGTTTTGAGACTCTATGACCGCGGGTTCAATCCCGGCCGGGGGTATGGTTTGTTTGCAATCGTGTCATTACGATTTCTTGAGTCTTGTACATACCATTTTGGCAAATCTTTCTGCTTCTGCAATTCTTTCCTCTAGGACCAGAGCCTCTTCCTTCACAGTAGGATATACATCTAACTTTGTGCCAAGGAGCTGCTCAATTCTCTGATACACTTCTACTTCATACTGGAAAAAAAAAAAAAAAAAAAAAAAAAAAAAAAAAAAAAACTGAGTAAGGTAGATAGAAAGGTAAGTAATTTTGAAATCTGAAGAGTGCTTTGACCTGGTAGATCATTAGTATTCTTTTCTTTCTTTTTTTCAACCCACCGGCCATATCCCACCAAGGTGGGGTGGCCCAAAAGGAAAAACAAAAGTTTCTCCTTTTACATTTAGTAATATATACAGGAGAAGAGGTTACTAGCCCCTTGCTCCTGGCATTGTAGTCACCTCTTACAACACGCATGACTTATGGAGGAAGAATTCTGTTCCACTTCCCCATGGAGATAAGAGGAAATAAACAAGAACAAGAACTAGAAAGAAAATAGCAGAAAACCCAGAGGGGTGTGTGTATATATATGTGTTTGTACATGCATGTGTAGTGTGACCCAAGTGTAAGTAGAAGTAGCAAGACGTACCTGAAATCTTGCACGTTTATGAGACAGAAAAAAAGACACCAGCAATCCTACCATCATGTAAAACAATTACAGGCTTTCGTTTTACACTCACTTGGCAGGACGGTAGTACCTCCCTGGGCGGTTGCTGTCTACCAACCTACTACCACAGGATGGTAGTACCTCCCTGGGCGGTTGCTGTCTACCAACCTACTACCACAGGATGGTAGTACCTCCTTGGGCGGTTGCTGTCTACCAACCTACTACCAAGGATTTGTACTCTTAGTAGTTAAAAATAAATATACCACATACAAGGACATCAAAGGTAAAAATAACAAACAATAAAGAACTAATAGCATGAATAAAACACTCAGCACATAATTATTATTACACCAAGTCAAGATAACCAATAACACTTAAAATCCCAATTTCCAAAGACTTCTCAGAGCTCCAGAGATTCCTATGAGCACATCAGTAATTAGGTCACCCTGCCTGGGTGGAATACGGCCTGGTCATTTATAAAAAAAAATCATAAGACTGTGGGCCATCATTTTCTTTACACTCAGTCAAATTAAACTTTATTTTTAGCCTTACTGTCCTTTTAACACTATGCACATGCCAAAATTATTTAATTATACTAAGCCAAATACTGTAAATCGAATGAAAATATGAGTGAACTGTTTTGTCATGAAAGCCCTAAATAAACTAATTCACAATAAAATTAAAGACACTGGTGAGAATAGTACAGTTGACCCCCGGTTAACGATATTTTTTCAATCCAGAAGTATGTTCAGGTGCCAGTACTGACCGAATTTGTTCCCATAAGGAATATTGTGAAGTAGATTAGTCCATTTCAGACCCCCAAACATACACGTACAAACGCACTTACATAAATACACTTACATAATTGGTCGCATTCGGAGGTGATTGTTATGCGGGGGTCCACTGTATATCAATTCAAGTTACAGTATTTTGTTAAAATCATCTCATTTTAAAAATTTTGCCCATTTTATTTGGCTATTACTTGCCTCCAGAAGGTGTGAATGGGTCTCTCTGACATTTCTTTTTTTTGTCAAACTGCAAAGCAAATGAGCAATGACAACTTCCTCTATATGCTTATGAAAACAATCATCAATGTTTTAAGAATCCATGGTGCAATTAACATTTAAAATCTTGCTAAAGACTGTTAGAGCAAATAGTTCATGGAAATAACATTAAACCTTAATAGAGGGAACCATAGCCTGATTTATTTACACATAACTGAATGATCAGTTATGGAAGGAGAAAAGAGAATATGAATGTGTAAATTCAAGAATTATGTGGATTAAAGTAAAGGTTGGATGCGAGAAGTGGGTCATAATAAGCGTGTATGCACCTGGAGAAGAGAGGAATGCAGAGGAGAGAGAGAGATTTTGGGAGATGTTAAGTGAATGTATAGGAGCCTTTGAACCAAGTGAGAGAGTAATTGTGGTAGGGGACCTGAATGCTAAAGTAGGAGAAACTTTTAGAGAGGGTGTGGTAGGTAAGTTTGGGTGCCAGGTGTAAATGATAATGGGAGCCCTTTGATTGAACTTTGTATAGAAAGGGTTTAGTTATAGGTAATACATATTTTAAGAAAAAGAGGAAAAAATAAGTATACAAGATATGATGTAGGGCGAAATGACAGTAGTTTGTTGGTTTATGTATTGGTAGATAAAAGACTGTTGAGTAGACTTCAGGATGTACATGTTTATAGGGGCCACAGAAATCAGATCACTTTCTAGTTGTACTACACTGAGAGTAAAGGTAGATGGGATACAAGGAGAATAGAAGCATCAGGGAAGAGAGAGGTAAAGGGTTTATAAACTAAAAAGGAGGCAGTTAGGGAAAAGATATAAACAGCTATTGGAGGATAGATGGGCTAATGAGAGCATAGGCAATGGGGTCAAAGAGGTATGGGGTAGGTTTAAAAATGTAGTGTTAGAGTGTTCAGCAGAAGTTTGTGGTTACAGGAAAGGGGGTGCGGGAGGGAAGAGGAGCGATTGGTGGAAGGATGATGTGAAGAAGTAGTAAGGGAGAAAATTTTAGCATATGAGAATTTTTTTACAAAGTAGAAGTGATGCAAGGAGGGAAGAGAAATATGGAGAAAAAAGAGAGAGGTTAAGAGAGTGGTGAAGCAATGTAAAAAGAGAGCAAATGAGAGAGTGGGTGAGATGTTATCAACAAATTTTGTTGAAAATAAGAAAAAGTTTGGAGTGAGATTAAACAAGTTAAGAAAGCCAGAGAACAAATGGTTTTGTCAGTTAAAAATAGGAGAGGAGAGTTATTAAATGGAGAGTTAGGGGTTTTGGGGAAGATGGGGGGAATATTTTGAGGAATTGTTAAATGTTGATGAAGATAGGAAGCTGTGATTTCGTGTATAGGGCAAGGAGGAACAACATCTTGTAGGAGTGAGGAAGAGCCAGTTGTGAGTGTGGGGGAAGTTTGTGAGGCAGTAGGTAAAATGAAGGGGAAAAGGGCAGCCGGGATTGATGGGATAAAGATCGAAATGTTAAAAGCAGGTGGGGATATATTTTTTGGAGTGGTTGGTGCAAATATTTAATAAATGTATGGAAGAGGGTAAGGTACCTAGGGATTGGCAGAGAGCAGCATGTTCCTTTGTATAAAGGAAAAGGGGGATAAAAGAGAGTGCAAAAATTATGGGGGGATAAGTCTGTTGAGTATCCCTGCAAAGAGTATGGTGAGTTATTATTGAAAGAATTAAGAGTAAGACGGAGAATAGGATAGCAGATGAACAAAAGGGGGCTTTAGGAAAGGTAGGGGGTGTGTGGACCAGGTGTTTACAGTGAAACATATAAGTGAACAGTATCTAGATAAGGCTAAAGAGGTCTTTGTGGCATTTTATGGATTTGGAAAAGGGGTATGAAAAGGGTGGATAGGGGGGCCCTGTGGCAGATGTTGCAGGTGTATGGTGTAGGAGGTAGGTTACTGAAAGCATGAAGAGTTTTTACGAGGATAGTGAGGCTCAAGTTAGAGTATGTAGGGAAAAAGGGAAATTATTTCCCAGTTAAAAGTAGGCCTTAGACAAGGATGGTGATGGGCACCGTGGGTTGTTTAAGATATTTATAGATGGGGTTGTAAGAGAAGTAAAAGCGAGGGTCTTGGGAAGAGGCGTGGAGTTAAAAGATAAAGAATCACACATAAAGTGGGAGTTTGTCACAGTTGCTCTTTGCTGATGACACTGTGCTCTTGGGAGATCTGAAGAGAAGTTGCAGAGATTGGTGGATGAATTTGTAGGGTGTGCAAAAGAAGAAAATTGAAAGTGAATACAGGAAAGAGTAAGGTTATGAGGATAAAAAAAAAGATTAGGTGATGAAAGATTGGATATCAGATTGGAGAGAGAGTAAAGAGGAGGTGAATGTATTTTAGATATTTGGGAGTGGACGTATCAGCGGATGGGTCTATGAAAGATGAGGTGAATCATAGAATTGATGAGGGGAAAGGGTGAGTGGTGCACTTTGGAGTCTGTGGAGACAAAGAACTTTTTTCCTTGGAGGCAAAGAGGGGAAAAGTATGAGAGTATAGTTTTACCAACGCTTTATATGGGGGTGAAGCATGGGTGATGAATGTTGCAGCGAGGAGAAGGCTGGAGGCAGTGGAAATGTCATTTTCTGAGAGCAATGTGTGTGGTGAAAATAATGCAGAGAATTCGTAGTTTGGAAGTTAGGAGGAGGTGCGGGATTACCAAAAATGTTGTCCCCGAGGGCTGAGGAAGGGTTGTTGAGGTGGTTCGGACATGTGGAGAAATGGAGCGAAACAGAATAACTTCAAGAGTGTATCAGTCTGTAGTGGAAGGAAGGCGGGGTAGGGGTCGGCCTAGGAAAGGTTGGAGGGAGGGGGTAAAGGAGGTTTTTTGTGCGAGGGGCTTGGACTTCCAGCAGGCATGCGTGAGCGTGTTTGATAGGAGTGAATGGAGACAAATGATTTTAATACTTGACGTGCTGTTGGAGTGTGAGCAAAGTAACATTTATGAAGGGGTTCAGGGAAACCGGCAGGCCGGACTTGAGTCCTGGAGATGGGAAGTACAGTGCCTGCACTCTGAAGGAGGGGTGTTAATGTTGCAGTTTAAAAACTGTAGTGTAAAGCACCTTTCTGGCAAGACAGTGATGGAGTGAATGATGGTGAAAGTTTTTCTTTTTCGGGCCACCCTGCCTTGGTGGGAATCGGCCAGTGTGATAATAAAAAAAAAATTAACCTATTAAAAAAAAAAGGTCCTAAGAAAGCTCTCCATGTTCTCTAACATATTTACTTTCCATGACCAATGTTGGAAATAATTTTGTTTAACCCTTTGAGGGTCCGTCCCGTAGATCTACGGCTTTACGTTCAGGGTCCAAACAGTAGATCTACATCATGAGCTCAGCTCACTCTGATAAACTGTGAGTGGTACATTTGGGCCTAGATATGAGAGAATACATCTATGTGTTATGTGTGCACCACATAAAACAGATCCTGCAGCACGCTGTGTATAATGAGAGAAAAATCTGAAATCATGATTTTTCGATTAAAACAGTGACTTTACAGTGTTTTTTCGTATGTTTTTTATAGTTCTATTTGCGATTTCTTGGTCTCATTTGATAGAATGGAAGACATATTACAGAAATAGAGATGATTTTGATTGGTTTTCACACTGGAAATGGCTTGAAACTGAGCTCAAAGTAGCAGAAATGTTTAAATTTTTGCCGATATTCAAGAGTAAACAAAAGACCTCACACGTCTAATACACGCCAGCTGGTGGGTTCTAATATGCATTCACAAATATGGGGGATGATATTTATACAATTATTACAGTATTGCATAACAGTAAATCTTCTATTTTTTGGTGTGAATAAAAAAATTTATTATGTGAATAAAAAATCAAAATGGAAATTATTTGTAAAGCCTCAAAAAAGTAACTAATGAACAGAGGAAATGTTAGTTTGTTCCAGGGAAAACCTACATTGTTTATTCTGGACCCTATTTGAAACTGGAAAATTTTGAAAATTTGTGTTAAATTTTGGGCAAATTAACAATTTCCGATCACTTTAAAATTTTTAGTTGAAAACAGTTGACTTGGCGATTTTTTGTGCTCAATCGATAGAAAAGAAGTAATACTAGTGAAATAGCTAAGAATTTGGATGACTGGGAAAAATGTAATTGGCCTAAATGGGAGTCAAAGTGGCAAAATCGCCGATTTGTAAAAAATCGCTGACACATCAAAATTCGCGAGAGCATAATTTCGTCAATTTTCCATCAAATTTCGTACTTTTTGTTTTATTACCTTCACAAAAAAGATTCTCTACCATTTCATAAGAAAAAATAATTTTTTTTTTTTAAATTCTTGGACACCGGGGCACCACTTCAGATTTGGGCCTTGGACCCTGTTGCGGCCCCTGCCAAACTAGCGGTTAAATAGTTAACCTGCCGGCCGGCAGTACCACTGGGTACGTCATCAAACCCAATGTGGGGGCTGCTGAGCCCGGGCCCTTTGAGCAGTAAGTTCCTGAGTGCCTCACGGTGCACATCTAAGCAGTAGGTACCTGACCACCTAAGGGTACAGTCTACTGGCTTTAGTAACAGTATGTACCTGAGCGCCTCAGGATACGCACCTAAGCAGTAGGTACCTGCACACCTAAGGGTACACGTCTACTGGCTTCAACATTAAGTACCTGAACTCCTCAGGGTACACGTCTATGCAGTAGGTGCCTGACCACCGAATCGTACCTATCTACTGGCGTTAGAAGAACCGCTCACCGCAGCTCACTGAGTCGTTGGCCTCAGTTACTTGACGGCCGCATTCAGTGAGCTTGCAGCATGGTGTTCGGCTAGCGGTGTGTCAACCCCCTTTTGGAGAGGATTTCCTGGACTACCGGTGATGTCTGTGGACTCACCGTCTACGCTGATCAACTGTGGGCCGGAATCATCAGATGCTGTTTGGTGGGACATTACATGAAGAAAAGGTTGGAGTGTTACACTGAACTGGGCCAGGACCGTAGTGTGACACTTAGGAACGTATGACGGAGTGGAACACTGAGATATGCACAGGACCGTAGTGGAACACTGAGATGAAAAGGGTGTCGTGGGACACTGAAGATGGCCTGGTTGTAGTGTACACTGAATAGTGTCATGTGACTGGCCTCGACCGGATAAGTGTCGTGAGAAACAGTTGACTGTAATATATTTTAAATGTTACTTAATTTATTAATGTGTGTATTTATGTATCCCGAACTCTTTATTACAAAAGGAGTAAATCTTGCCCTCTTCTTCTTTTAAAAATTACTTTTTTTGTAATATATGGGGGCCTGTCCGGGATGATAATGATTATCTAGAATGATTTCTGGATGGTCATATCCGGGATGACGGTTCGGGATACATATTACATTGATCTTTGTGTGTCGGTCCTTTTGTGGTGGGGGTGTTGCGGCCCCTGCCAAACTAGCGGTTAAATAGTTAACCTGCCGGCCGGCAGTACCACTGGGTACGTCATCAAACCCAATGTGGGGGCTGCTGAGCCGGCCTTAGAGCAGTAAGTTCCTGAGTGCCTCACGGTGCACATCTAAGCAGTAGATGCCTGACCACCTAAGGGTACAGTCTACTGGCTTTAGTAACAGTATGTACCTGAGCGCCTCAGGATACGCACCTAAGCAGTAGGTACCTGCACACCTAAGGGTACACGTCTACTGGCTTCAACATTAAGTACCTGAACTCCTCAGGGTACACGTCTATGCAGTAGGTACCTGACCACCGAATCGTACCTATCTACTGGCGTTAGAAGAACCGCTCACCGCAGCTCACTGAGTCTGTTGGCCTCAGTTACTTGACGGCCGCATTCAGTGAGCTTGCAGCATGGTGTTCGGCTAGCGGTGTGTCAACCGCCTTTGGAGAGGATTTACTGGACTACCGGTGATGTCTGTGGACTCACCGTCTACGCTGATCAACTGTGGGCCGGAATCATCAGATGCTGTTGGTGGGACATTACATGAAGAAAAGGTTGGAGTGTTACACTGAACTGGGCCAGGACCGTAGTGTGACACTTAGGAACGTATGATGGAGTGGAACACTGAGATATGCACAGGACCGTAGTGGAACACTGAGATGAAAAGGGTGTCGTGGGACACTGAAGATGGCCTGGTTGTAGTGTACACTGAATAGTGTCATGTGACTGGCCTCGACCGGATAAGTGTCGTGAGAAACAGTTGACTGTAATATATTTTAAATGTTACTTAATTTATTAATGTGTGTATTTATGTATCCCGAACTCTTTATTACAAAAGGAGTAAATCTTGCCCTCTTCTTCTTTTAAAAATTACTTTTTTTGTAATAGACCCTGAAGGGGTTAACTTGCAAGATGACTGTTTCCGGGTTATTTATAAAGTTTAAATTGACATACCTGTGATACAAAGGTAATAGCAATGCCAGATTTTCCTGCACGAGCAGTTCTCCCAACTCTGTGAATGTAGTCTTTGCTGTGCATTGGAACGTCAAAATTGATTACGTAGTCCACAGAAGGTATGTCCAGGCCTCTGTGAAGAAGCAAAATGACACAATCCTTTAATATGCTATCAAAAAATAGTTTATTATTTTGAAATTACCAATTTAGATTCCATTGACATTTTGATTTATTAAGACTATAAATACAGTGGACCCCCGGTTAACGAACTTTTTTCATTCCAGTAGTATGTTCAGGTGCCAGTACTGACCGAATTTTTTCCCATAAGGAATATTGTGAAGTAGATTAGTCCATTTCAGACCCCCAAACATACACGTACAAACGCACTTACATAAATACACTTACATAATTGGTCGCATTTGGAGGTGATCGTTAAGCGGGGGTCCACTGTACTGGCAAGTGTAAACAAAAAAAGCTTACCTTGAGGCCACATCTGTTGCAAGAAGAATAGATCTTTCTTTTACTTTGAACTTATTTAGTGCTCCCAGACGTTTGTTCTGTGACATTTTGCCATACAATGGAATAGCAGTGAATCCAAGGTTTCGCAGCATTAGTGCAGTTTTGAGGGTTGACTGCTGAGTGGCACAAAAGACAATAACAGCCTGGTTTCCAATTTCATTTAAGATGTATGCCAGATACATGTGCTGCAAAGATGTTATTATGGTCCATGACAATAATTCATAGAAAATGTCATTTAAAGGTACTTATACACACCATAAAGAATGCACATAACCGATATACACCTTTAATTACATTTACCGTTTGTTAGAGAAGTTAATACAAAATCTTATTGTAAATAGCAATATTAAATTTATGCATTAAGCTACACCTTTATTCACCATTTCATCAAGTTCCTAACTTTAATGCCTAGAAGCTGCTATTTCTGCATTATATACTGTACAGGCAGGCTGTGCTTATACAGCAGGTCAGGCTCCGGGCTACTGCTGTAAAACAAAAAATCACTGAGAAGTGAAACAGTCTTTTATCACTTTCATATGCATATAAAAGCCTGATGACATGTTTACACTATCATATATTAAATGAGCAGTAGAGCTAGGCCTAAAAAATGTATATACAGTACATAAATTACTTTAAAATATTTTCGTCCTTAACTTATACTGAGTTACTGTAATTATTATAGGAAGTCCGAATAAATGAAGAATGTGTATAACTGAAAACTCCTGTGTTAGTGAAACACTGTAAAACGAAGTGCTGTAAAGTCATTGTTTCTTCATTAGATAGTGCAGAATCTCAGTAAGCCCAACTCAGATATTGAAAACGCAATCAATTACTCTCTCAAAGTAATCACTCATTTTCACTGATAGAGCAGCAAATGCAATAAAATACAAAGCATGAGAAACCCAAAACCACACCAAAATCTGCGACAATACTGGTGAAAATTTATTGAATGGGGAAACTGCCATCCAAAATTTCTTTTGCAAAACTGCCAAAGGATGGCACATATGTCTGTTTGTACACAGAAAACTAAAGGCGAGATCTCACATTTGCCCCCAAAACGTATGTGGTAGTATTTTTGCAAATTTTTTAATATAAAGGCAGTAGTTATTTTTTTTTTTTCAGCAAGTCAGCCGTCTCCCACCAAGGCAGGGCGACCCAAAAAAAGAAAATCCCCGAAAAGAAAATACTTTCATCATTCAACACTTTCACCTCACTCACACATAATCACTGTTTTTGCAGAGGTGCTCAGAATGCAACAGTTTAGAAGCATATACTACGTATAAAGAATACACAACATATCCCTCCAAACTGCCAATATCCCAAACCCCTCCTTTAAAGTGCAGGCATTGTACTTCTCATTTCCAGGACTCAAGTCCGGCTATATAAAAATAACCGGTTTCCCTGAATCCCTTCACTAAATATTACCCTGCTCACACTCCAACAGATCGTCAGGTCCCAAATACCATTCGTCTCCATTCACTCCTAACACGCTCATGCACGCTTGCTGGAAGTCCAAGCCCCTCTCCCACAAAACCTCCTTTACCCTGTCCCTCCAACCTTTTCAAGGACGACCCCTACCCCGCCTTCCTCCCCCTACAGATTTATACGCTCTCCATGTCATTCTACTTTGATCCATTCTCTCTAAATGACCAAACCACCTCAACAACCCCTCTTCAGCCCTCTGACTAATACTTTTAATAACGCCACACCTTCTCCTAATTTCCCAACTCCGAATTTTCTGCATAATATTCACACCACACATTGCCCTTAGACAGGACATCTCCACTGCCTCCAACCGCCTCTTCGCTGCGGCATTTACAACCCAAGCTTCACACCCATATAAGAGTGTTGGTACTACTATACTTTCATACATTCCCTTCTTTGCCTCCATAGATAACATTCTTGGTCTCCACATATACCTCAATGCACCACTCACCTTTTTTTCTTCATCAATTCTATGATTAACCTCATCCTTCATAAATCCATCCGCTGACACGTCAACTCCCAAATATCTGAAAACATTCACTTCTTCCATACTCCTCCTCCCCAATATTAGAATACTGTTTTTAGAGTGCAAGAGTTAAACACACTTGATAATCAAAAGATTTTTTATGGAAATTTGTTTATTTAATTAGTCTAGAGCATGCACAACTTACTTTATGTTTACAAGGAATAAAGAGCATATACTGCTGTAACTTGGTCACGGTCTGGTACTTGGATGACACTTCCACCTTCACAGGCTCTTTCAGATGTGCTCGTTGAAGTTTGTTTACCTGTTAAAAAAACACGAACTACTTGAAAATTTACTGGGCAACTTAGAATAGAATAATGTTCAGCAATACATTATAAAACAAACCTTTAATGAAGAAAAAATATTAAACCAATAAAACTCAGTAAACAGTATCTAAGTCATTTATGTAGGTTATTTCAGCATTGTTAAGATTCAGTAAGTGTATGCAGCATCAACTATTACCTTGCTGGTCATGGTGGCAGAGAAGAGCATTGTGCGTCTCTCACGGGGCAACACTTTCAATATTTTGTCCACCTCTTCTTCAAAATCCAAGTTAAGGATGCGATCTGCCTCATCCATTACCTTCAGAAAATTAAAGGGTTAGCTCGTATGAAAGCAGCATATATAAAGTGTATCTTTTTTTTTTTTTTAACAAGTCGGCCGTCTCCCACCGAGGCAGGGTGACCCAAAAAGAAAGAAAATCCCAAAAAGAAAATACTTTCATCATCATTCAACACTTTCAACTCACTTACACATAATCACTGTTTTTGCAGAGCTCAGAATACAACAGTTTAGAAGTACAGTGGACCCCCGGTTAACGATATTTTTTCACTCCAGAAGTATGTTCAGGTGCCAGTACTGACCGAATTTGTTCCCATAAGGAATATTGTGAAGTAGATTAGTCCATTTCAGACCCCCAAACATACACGTACAAACGCACTTACATAAATACACTTACATAATTGGTCGCATTCGGAGGTGATCGTCATGCGGGGGTCCACTGTATATATGTAAAAAGAATACACAACATATCCCTTCAAACTGCCAATATCCCAAACCCCTCCTTTAAAGTGCAGGCATTGTGCTTCCCATTTCCAGGACTCAAGTCCGGCTAAATAAAATCACCGGTTTCCCTGAATCCCTTAACTAAATATTACCCTGCTCACACTCCAGCAGCTCATCAGGTAACAAATTCCATTTGTCTCCATTCACTCCTATCTGACACACACACACACGCTTGCTGGAAGTCCAAGCCCCTCTCCCACAAAACCTCCTTTACCCCTCCCTCCAACCTTTTCGAGGACGACCCCTACCCCGCCTTCCTTCCCCTACAAATTTATACGCTCTCCATGTCATTCTACTTTGATCCATTCTCTCTAAATGACCAAACCACCTCAACATCCCTTCTTCAGCCCTCTGACTAATACTTTTATTAACTCCACACCTTCTCCTAATTTCCGCACTCCAAATTTTCTGCTTAATATTTACACCACACATTGATCTTAGACAGGACATCTCCACTGCCTCCAACCGCCTCTTCGCTGCAGCATTTACAACCCACTATACAGTGGACCCCCGCATAACGATCACCTCCGAATGTGACCAATTATGTAAGTGTATTTATGTAAGTGCGTTTGTACGTGTATGTTTGGGGGTCTGAAATGGACTAATCTACTTCACAATATTCCTTATGGGAACAAATTCGGTCAGTACTGGCACCTGAACATACTTCTGGAGTGAAAAAATATCGTTAACCGGGGGTCCACTGTACTTTCATACATTCCCTTCTTTGCCTCCATAGATAACATTCTTTGTCTCCACATATACCTCAATGCACCACTCACCTTTTTTCATTCATCAATTGTATGATTAACCTCATCCTTCATAAATCCATCCGCTGATACGTCAACTCCCAAATACAGTGGACCCCCGCCTTACGAACGCATCGCGTTACGTTAAATCCGCCATACGAAGCATTTGAACGTAAAAATTTTGCCTCGCTTCACAATAAAAAACTCCCCTTACGTGATTCGTCCGGGATGCATCCCACGTGTGGCCTCAGCTGCCCCGTGGGTGCCAGTGTTTACAAGCCAGCCAGTGCAGTCGCAGCCACGCATACATTCGGTACATTTCACCTTATCCCAGTGTTTTTTGTGCTTGTAACTGCAAAATAACCTAGGTAGTAGGTTGGTAGACAGCAACCACCCAGGGAGGTACTACCGTCCTGCCAAGTGAGTGTAAAACGTAAGCCTGTAATTGTTTTACACGATGGTAGGTTGGCTGGTGTTTTTTCTGTCTCATAAACATGCAAGGTTTCAGGTACGTCTTGCTACTTCTGCTTACACTTAGGTCACACTATACGTACATGTACAAGCATATGTATACACACCCCTCTGGGTTTTCTTCTATTTTCTTACTAGCTCTTGTTCTTGTTTATTTCCTCTTATCTCCATGGGGAAGTGGAACAGAATTCTTCCTCCGTAAGCTATGCGTGTTGTAAGAGGCGACTAAAATGCCAGGAGCAAGGGGCTAGTAACCCCTTCTCCTGTATATATTACTAAATGTGAAAGGAGAAACCTTTGTTTTTCCTTTTGGGCCACCTCGCCTCGGTGGGATACGGCCGGTGTGTTGAAAGAAAGAAGAATTATCATACATAGCAGCATATGTGTAGAGAACCTAGGATAACCCAAAAAAGTCAGACAGAGTGACTTATTTCCATTGGGGTCCTTTTACCTTATTATTATAATATAAAGGTTATAATATTTTCTTATTATTCTACAATGAAGATAACATCTTATTATCATACTAAAAAGACTATCTACTACACGAGGGTCATTAAGACTATCTACAATACGAGGGTCATTACTAGGAATAAGGTAAAATTTACACGTATTTTAGCTAAAAAATAGAAAATCATTCCCCTCCCTTTCTGTAGCTTCATTCATCAGACACTTTTTGGCAGTCTTCTTGAACTGGTTCATGCTATGACTGGCTTTGGCATGTGCGGGTAGTCTGTTCCATTCCTTTATTGCTGTACAATAAAAGGTGTTTGACGCCTGGCCACTGACTGTGGGTACTACAAAGTTGTTTGGTTCCCAACCTTGACAAAATTGACAGCAAGATATTCTGGACACTGTTCGTGAGCAATTTTATAAACATGATTTAGCTTCAGTTGTTTTACTCTGTCTTCAACATTCAGCATATCCAACTGCTGTAATTCATCCTGGCCTACATGTTCTCTTGGTCCCAGCCCCAGGATGAATCTTACAATTTTGTTCTGGGTGATTTGCAGTCTATCTTTCAGTTTTTTGTCAAGGCAGAGTACCATGAAGAGCAAGCGTAATCCATATGGCATTGTATAAGGGCTAGACATAGGGTCCTGCGAGCCTCAGTAGGTAGACACTGTGCTTGTCTATACAGGAACTTCAGTCTGGCATTCGCTTTCTTTACTATACTGTTCCCTATCAATTCTCCTGACATGCATGGGTCAAAGGGGATTCCCAGATATTTTACTGATGGAAACCAAAGTGATGGACTCCCCATTACACTGAACATTAAAATTATTTACCCTTCTCAGTTTATGTTTCGTTCCAAAGAGAATGGCTTCAGTTTTCCCTAGGTGTAATGATAGTTTGTTGTCTACTAACCATTTGCTGCAGGACTCCAGTTCCAGTGTTAAAACATTAGCAATATCTTGTGGGTCTTTACCTGTCACTAACAGAGCACTGTCATCTGCATACAGTAGGAGTTTGCACTTGACACTGATAGGCATATCATTGACATAACATAAGAATAGTAAGGGACCCAGAATACTACCTTGGGGAACTCCACATGTTATCGGCAGGGGTTCTGATTCCGTTAAGGTAGGACTTAAACCAGTCTACAGAACCTATACCGATAGCTTGAAGTTTCTTACATAATATATTGTGGTTGACAGTATCGAAGGCCTTTTGCAGGTCTAAGGTTACCATACCTATGAGGTTCCCTTTTGACATTTCAGTTCTCAGGTAATCCATCAGATTAATAAGGGAGGTATCGGTTGAGTAGGATCTTCTAAAGCCCGATTGATAGCTATGGAGAATGCTGTTGTCATTAAGGTACTTAACTACTTGAGAATACACCGCCCTCTCTAGAATTTTAGATATTATACTGAGTATACTAACAGGTCTATAGTTGCTTACATCAGACCTATTATTTTTCTTGAAGATAGGAGTAACTCTGGCCTCCTTGAACCCCTCCGGTACGGTATTAGTGGTGATTGATAGATTTATTATGTGAGCAATAGGGATTGACAGTTCAGAAGCACCATCTTTTAGGAACTTAGACGGGTGAGAATTAGTATGGAAATTAAGAAAGATTTTGAAGGGTTTGGGGCTAACCCTCTCGAAGCCTATGCCAGTTGCGGAATCCATTGTGCCTACTTCAAAGATTAAGGAAATTTGTGCAAAGTGGGTTGAAGTGCAAACCTTAATGGATGAAAATCACCCTAACACAGCTACTGCAAGCTGTGCTGGTGACTATTACGATGACAATGTTGTGGCCCATTTTAGGCAAGTCTTAAAGGAACGGGAGGTACAAACCTCTATGGACATTTGTTGTGCGACAGAGGTCCAGTGACTCTCAAGCTGGTCTTAGTGGCATTACAAGAAGGGAAGTAACCCCGGAAAAGGACTTGCTACCTCAAGTCCTAATGGAAGGGGATTCCCATTCTAAACAATAACTTCCACACTCTCCCCTCCTCCCATCCCATCAATCATCACCAGATCTTCAATAAAGGTAAGTGTCATGCATTCTATTCTTAGTAGAGTAGTGATTGTGGATGTCTTCTTCAGTTTGTGTGTATTAAAATTAATATTTCATATGGTAAAATTTTTTTGTTATACTTTGGGGTGTCTTGAACGGATTAATTTGATTTCCATTATTTCTTATGGAGAAAATTAATTCGCCTTACGATAATTTCGGCTTACGATGAACTCTCAGGAACGGATTAATATCGTAAGGCGGGGGTCCACTGTATCTGAAAACATTCACTTCTTCCATACTCCTCCTCCCCAATTTGATATCCAATTTTTCTTTATCTAAATCATTTGATACCGTCATCACCTTACTCTTTTCTATGTTCACTTTCAACTTTCTACCTTTACACACACTCTCAACTTCATCCACTAACCTCTGCAGTTTTTCTTTAGAATCTCCCATGAGCACAGTATCATCAGCAAAAAATAACTGTCACTTCCCATTTTGTATTTAATTCCCCATAATTTAATCCCACCCCTCTCCCGAACACCCTAGCATTTACTTCTTTTACAACATATAAGAAGTAATGTATATACATGTATTTTTTTTTTTCAGTGCACCAGCCGTATCTCACCAAGGCAGGGTGACCCACAAAGAAAAGCAAAAGTTTTTCTTTTTACATTTAGTAATTTATACAGGGAAAGGGGTTACTAGCCCCTTGCTCCTGGCATTTTAGTTGTCTCTTATGACATGCATGGCTTACAGAGGAAGGATTCTTCTCCACTTCCCTATGGAGATATTATGTATGTCATTAATAAATATACAGTAGCATGTAACATGCTGCTTTACATGATGAATACTTTATTGCAGAATTATTGTTCATCATGGTATTCATGTGTTTATACATATCCAGTTTGCAAACTAAGCTTTTTATTGTACATACAAATGCTAAAACAATTATAAACATGCAATTAAAATATATTTCTATTATTATTCATTATTGTAACATGACTACCTGAGGCCACAGAGACTGCAACTAGATGATGTTTAATGCTGTACAGTATCAAGAGTACCAATGAAAGCATCTACAGCAGGTTTTGCAATCCATTAGAGTCAGCAGAGTTAATTCGTTTCTTTACATTTTCACATGAACAAGAACTGAGGAACATACACCTATGGTAGATACAGTAAATAAAAAAAATTCTTACCAGGTACTTTAGGGCTTTGAGGTTAAAACCCTTTGTCTTTTCGAGGTGGTCCACAAGACGCCCAGGTGTAGCAACAATTATGTGAGGCCGTTTTCCCAGCTCCACTGCCTGCTGAGTCATATCTATCCCTCCTACGACAACTACGCAGGTTACACCGATTGCTTTACCTGTTTTAGAAGAACAAAAATGCAAAACAAAAATCTCTTAAGTACATATACTTTAAATTAAAGAATGGAAATGTTAAATTCCAGGCAGATTAGGCTAACATTAATTGACCTCTGAAAATACTAGTACATATTAATGAAACCACTTAATAAACTTCTACTGTACTTGGCAAATTGAAAATTTGGATGCTAAAGATGACAAAGCTAAAGTCAATCAATAGGAAACTAATTTACCCAAAGCATCAAACTGTTCCTTAATCTGGAAGGCCAATTCTCGAGTTGGTGTGAGAATAAGTGCAAAGAGCCGCTGTGGTCGAGCTATTAAAGCCTGAAGCAGAGGAAGTCCAAATGCTCCTGTTTTTCCAGAACCAGTTTCTGCCAAACCAATGACATCTTTATCTGAGAATAAAATCAGCTTAATTAAATTTTTTACCTTTCACACTTATTACCAAATGTTGTCACAATCAAAGTACAATAACTCTGTACTGTATACAAATTACACTCAAATAAACTGTTTCACAACATGCTGCATTCAGTCTTTTGAAATATTTAGACAAATTATATCAAACATCCACACCTCAAGAACTGACAGCCTTACATGGTAGAGGTATGTATGTTATACTGATACCATCAGCCAAGCCTTTCTCCTAAAATAATGGACAAATTACTATAATGTTCAGTTCTTTAAGCTGGGACTGAGAAACTTTCTCTCTGTCTGTATACAGTGGAACCTCAGTTTTTGTATGCCCTAGTTTGTATGTAAAACTATAGTTATTCTCTATAAAATATATTTTTTGTTAATATTTTTGGGTGTCTGGAACGGATTAACTGGAATTACATTATTTCTTATGGGAAACATTGCTTCAGTTTTCATATGATTTGGTTTATTTTCAGACTTTTTCAAACGGATTAATCATGAAAACCAAGGTTATACTGTATTACTCATTTTCCTTCATATAGAAGATGAGTTGACCTGGAACTGCAGCCATCAAGGACAACATGCTTTTCTGATTGAGAAATAAGGATAAAATGAGAGGTTAAATGGTGAACACAGTTGGTCAGTTATTGATATCTATACCTCTTACATGCAAGACCAATATGTGGAATTTGCTAACAGAAGGATTTGAAAAAAAATCTATGGTTCAGGTGCCATTTAAAGTTAATGTTTTGATTTAGCAACCCATCTTCCAAATAACTATATTACATTTTCACATACAGCTTGCAGCCCATTGCTAAATTAGGCTGGATCAGCTTAGGCTGGGTTAGGCTAGGTTAGGTTGGGTTAGGTTACAACAGAAAAACTATATGTACATATAAAAGGCAGTAAAAAAAAAAAAAATGCCACACAAACAGAAAATAGGCACCCACTGTGTGTGGCTCATGTAAGGTGTCACCAACAGCCACCCATTTGACTGCTTTTGCAACAATACCATAATGTGTGTGGTTATGATGATGGGCTGGATCTGGATGTTTACCAGCTCTTTACTGTTGAAAACTTTTTTATAAGTATGGCCTCACTTTTTTACATTAAAATTTTAAATTTAATTCCTAAGATTTAATATATAAATATTTAATAGGTACAATGCAGCGTTATGGTTTTGTCTCTACATAGTTTCAATCAGTGATTAACATGAGAATATATCAGAAACACTGCTGGATAAAGTTAATAAGTTTTCAAGAGGAAACGAGACAAACATTTCATCAGGTACCTGATCAGCCAGGCTGTGATGGATATGTGGGCCAGTGGGCTGCCAGCAGCCACAGCCTAGTTAATCAGACAAGCACCAGACAAGTCTGGAAGGTAGAAGAACTCTCGGAACCCATCAAATGTAAATGTAAGCCAAATAACACCAAACCTAAGGCTAAGCAGCAAAACAGACAAACTTTTGAAATTAATTAATAGTAATGAACAAGACCAGTAGCAAAAACTGTGACAGGGAGGGTCATTCATTATACACGGTGGAGGCTTCATATCTTATTTGCTAATTGCAAGTTATTGATGCCATGAAGACAAGACATACCTTTTAATGCCAAAGGAATAGCTTCTTTTTGGATAGGTGTTGGGGCCTTCCATCCCAGCTGAGAACACGCTTCACACAGCTCATCGATGATACCCTGCAGTTACAGGTATAAGAGAAATTAAGAAAATGGTGCAAGACCTCTGTGAGTAGTTTTTATTCAGGGCAATCTACAGACAGTATTGCAAACCAAAGTACACACTTTTACAACAGCTTTGAGGGCACACAGATGTTGTGGGCACATACATATATACATACATACACACACAGTGGTACATTAAACAGGTTTAATATAGGATAACCCAATTAAGGCAGTGTGCCTTCTGGTGTATGTATACCACGAATCTTGTTTTGACGACTGGTTAAGCAGAAAAGGAAAAAAAGCCAGTATAACCTTGACAGTAAACTGGATGTAGATGTGGTAAGATGAAACTTACACAAACACAGGAAACCTTCAGGTCACAATAATCTGAGCTACAAGGTGATATTCTGTTCTGTACTTTTTAGTGTGGTTAGATATAAAATAAAATTCGTACAATTTTTGAAGATGTGTTATAACTTTGTAGAGAATTTTCAAAAACTGTAACTCACAGAATAAGCAGGGTTTGAATTCGTGGCAAGATAATGCAAACACTAGCAGGCCGGTGCTCTCACCACTGCTTGATGCTGTATTAATTAGATCCATCCAACTAGGTACAACATATTTCACTACACTAGCACTTATATTCATGGTCACAGTGGCCCAGTGTTAATCTCCTAAGTGTATAGATTATCATTATAATCATGGGGGAGTGCTAAACCTGTAGGATTATACAGTGCATGTGGGGGGGGGAGAGATGGAAGGTATTCAGGTTCAATTCAGGAAACTGGAGCACAGATCCAATTCCCTAGATCAAGAGCCCCTCACCAGCATCAAGGACCCTCCATTGTGGGGTGAAGTGTATAGAAATGTATCTAGCTGGATAAATCTTATTAAGCTGCACAGACCAGTGGTGAGAACACTGTCCTGCTACTTATAGGCCTGGCTTGACCTGGGGCTGAACACTGCCTGTTTGAGAATTTTTTTAATCTTCATAGGTTTATGTAATCACATTCATGCTCAGGATTATTAGTTATATTACTTAGTTGCATATAGTGTATATAAATTACTAAACCACTACTTAGCATAATCTAAATGAGGGATTACCAAAGATACAGCAACTTGAACCAAAATCTGAGGACTTTTATTATTTATACTTCTTGATATGAAGCCAAGAATTACATTTGCTTTATTGTGAACACTTTTGCACTGTTGTCTTGTCTTTAGATTACTGCTAACCAGAAACTCCTAAATCTTTTTGAAATTCAAAGTGACTGAGATCTACATTATTCAATTTATATAAGTGCCAGGGTTATTTATTCTCTTTTTCCCAGGCTTAAAACCTTACATTTGTCTACATTAAACTGCATCTGCCACTTCTCTGACCACTGCATCAACCTATCAGATCTTATAACACTCTAAGTAACTTTACATTGGCACAGGTACACATGAGTACAATTATTATAATGTAAATTACGTAGGATAACCCCAGAAAAGTCAGACACAGAGACTTATCTGACGACCTATTTTAGAATCATTGGCAAACTTGCTTATGTTGATATTTATTCCTTAATCTATATCGTTTATGTAAACTGTGAACAACAAAGGGTCCAACACTGAGCCCTGTGGAACACCACTTGTGATGCCTCCCCACTCTTATTTCTCCCCGATTTATGCAAACTTTCTGCATATCTGTCAACTATGTCTTGATCCAGAAAAAAATTTCCCCTCCTATTACGTGTGCTTGTACTTTTCTCGATAATCTCTTGTGTGGAACAGTTCCAGTTCCTTGGAACAAGAGCCTTTCACCAAAATCAAGGAAATTTCTTTGAGGGGGGGGGGGGAAGTTTTACAACACAGGAAATGGGAGGCAATCAGGTTTGATGCAAGGAAAGGAAGGGCAGCTCCAGTCACTTGGATCATGAGAACTTCCCTTGAAGGGGAAAAAAAAGCACTTCTCTTGAAGGGAAGATGTGAAAAACAAGGCGAAAAATATTCTTACCAGATCCTTGAAGCTGAGAGCAGCCTCTTCCTCCTCCATCTTACTCTTCCTGAAGATATTTGTGATGATATTCAAGCCTTGCTGCTCCTTTTAATAGCTATAAGAGTTGTAGAGTGGTTCCAGAGAGTTATCTTGCTTCTTGATCTTTATAATACGTGGAACGTCCTGGAAAAAACTACAACACGTGTTGTTATTGTTGGGGTGTTAAGGGCCTACTAAAACTTATTCCTTATTTATCTCGACTTCAAAAGAGATCCGGAAAAGATATTTTGCCCCAAATCTTAGGAAAAAAAAAATATAATGAGAGACAAGCTTTCCGCCGGAAGGAGAAACAAAAATAATAAGCTCTCAATTAAGTCAGGTGAGCTCCCTATTACTTAAGCCCCGGTAGAGCCAGAGGGAAACACACAATGTGAGTCAACAACATCAGGCTTTCCAGAGCCCTAAGAGATGATATAATATGATAACTGATAAATTTTATTTATACGAAATAAAAGTAATTAATAATAAGAATAATAATATAATATCTTTATTTCTACAAGTACATGTACAAGGTATACAGGCCTAGCTGACATCAATGACATACTAGTATATAAAAAGCCGCTTGCTATGCAGAGCATTTCGGGCATTTCGGTCAGTTTTGATTGAGGATGTAACCCACACCAGTCGACTAATACCAAGGTATCCATTTTACTGTTGGGTGAACATAGAGATCTGGTGTAAGGAAACGCGCTCAGTATTTATATCCTTGCCCGGAATCGAACCCGGACCCTCAGCGTGTGAAGCGAGAACTTATGCCTACCAGGCCACGAGTCACTCAAATAAGTTTATTAAGGTAGGTAAGTAAGTTTATGCAGGTTACATAATATAGTTACATAGATTATCATACGTAGCAGCATATATGTAGAGAACCTGGGATAACCCAAAAAAAAGTCAAATTGATTTATTTCTATTGGTGTCTTTTTAATATAGGTACAAGTACACATAAGTACAATTGTGTTACATAGTGTAAATTGCCTAGAATAACCCAAAAAAGTCAGACAGAGTGGCTTATTTCCATCATTATTTTTATTGGGGTCCTTGATATTTTAATTAATGGGTTTAAGAATAAATGACATGCCTACTTATTTGGAGACCTTCCATTGTTATGTTCTGAATGTGGGTACTGAATTTCGAGTTGCTACCAAGGGACAGACCTAAGCATTTTCCCTCGTTTTGTCTTACAACGTAAGAACGTTAATTAGTATATTTAGTTTAAACATTTGGAACTGTTCCCAAGCATCATGAAGGTCTTGCTGTCTTAATGAGCTCCTCATTAAGAGTGTTATTGAGAGAGTCCGGGAGCGGGTAATGACAAAAGTTGTCTTATTTGCAAAACAGAACAGGTTTGTGTCATTGAGATGCATTGGGAAGGTCATTAGTAAGTAAGCTTATTCAGGTACAGGTACACATAAATTATCATACATAGCAGCATATATGTAGATTACCCAGGAAACCCAAAAAAGTCAAGGTGACTTATTTTCACTGGGGTCCTTTGTAATATTTTATTAGTTAACCCTTAACAGTTAAAAAATGGCAAGTAACTTGACTATGTGAGAAGCAGTTAAAATACAATGGGATCTTGGAATTCTTGGACCTTGGAAAATCTTGGAAGGAATGGTCCCAAATCTGCACACAGAAATCACTCCCTACGAAAGTAAAAGATTGGGCAGGCGATGCAAAATGCCGCCAATAAAAAGTAGGGGCGCCATTGGTACACTAAGAGAAAACACCATAAGTGTCCGGGGCCCAAAACTGTTCAACAGCCTCCCATCAAGCATTAGGGGAATTGCCAATAAACCCCTGGCTGCCTTCAAGAGAGAGCTGGACAGATACCTAAAGTCAGTGCCGGATCAGCCGGGCTGTGGCTCGTACGTCGGACTGCGTGCGGCCAGCAGTAACAGCCTAGTTGATCAGGCCCTGATCCATCGGGAGGCCTGGTCATGGACCGGGCCGCGGGGGCGTTGATCCCCGGGATAACCTCCAGGTAACCTCCTCCAGGTAATATACTAGGAATAAGGTAAATTGAGTTATTTACAATAACTTTAAAAAGAGGATCAGATCACAGTAATAGGTACATGAATGTTACAGTAATAGGTACATGAATGTTACAGTAATAGGTACATGAATGTTACAGTAATAGGTACATGAATGTTACAGTAATAGGTACATGAATGTTACAGTAATAGGTACATGAATGTTACAGTAATAGGTACATGAATGTTACAGTAATAGGTACATGAATGTTACAGTAATAGGTACATGAATGTTACAGTAATAGGTACATGAATGTTACAGTAATAGGTACATGAATGTTACAGTAATAGGTACATGAATGTTACAGTAATAGGTGCTGTATATTATTTATAAAAGAAATCATTCTCCTCCCTTTCTGTAGCTTCATTCATTAAGTACCTTTTAGTCTTCTTCCTGAACTGGTTCATGCTATGGCAGGCTTTGACATGTGCAGGCAGTCCGTTCCAGTCCTTCACTGCTGTACAATAAAAGGTGTCTGAAGCCTGACCACCTACTATGGGTACGACAAAGTGTGTGTTCCCTTCACCTAGTAAGTTTATTCAGATATACACAAATACAGTTACATAGATTATCATACATAGCAGCATATGTGTTGAGATCCTAGGATAACCCAAAAAAAAAGTTAGACAAAGTGACTTATTTCCATTGGGGTTCTACACTTGCTTTGGTTCCCAGCCTTGACAAACTTGGCAGCAAGATATTCTGGACTCTGCTTGTTAGCAATTTTATAAATGTGATTTAACTTCAGTTGTTTTACTCTTTCTTCAACATTCAGCATATCCAGTTATTGTAATTCATCCTGGTCTACATGTTCTCTTGGTCCCAGGTCCAGGATGAATCTTACAATTTTGTTCTGGGTAATTTGTCATCTATCTTTTATTTTATTTTGTTAAGGCAGAGTACCATGAAGAACAAGAGCATATGAGGAAAAACAAAGAGCCGAGAACACTACACTGAGGCACCCCTGTGTTGATAAGTCTAGATGACGAGGTTATGCCCTTGATGGAGACATATTAGTGCCAGGTAGGGCTTTAAGTATGCAAGAGTATGACCTCTGATACCATAATGTTCCACTTTATGATGCAGGATGTTGTGGTCTACTGCACATGAATGGTGCACAATACCGACAAGATGAAAACTGAGACATATGGGCAACATCTGGGTATCTTTATTGTAGACGTTTCGCCATCCAGTGGCTTTATCAACACAGATTTTAGGACATAATTTGAAGACAGTAGAACTATATAGAAAAAAATGAGGTAATCAATCCCTCAGCCTTGGTGTTGGTGTGTTTCAGGTTTCATGAGTAAGAATAACAAAAGTTATGTTAGTATTTAAAGAATCTAGGAGAACAAAGAGGTCATCACAATGCTTACTCAAGGATCCAACATTGTTATTTAATATTGGTATATTCTTGGCGGCACTGAGAACAGTTTTTTGCTGGATTAGTTGTGTAATAATGTTATTTTTGGAAGAATATAATTATTGCGATAAGGCAAGAGATTTAAATCTGGGTTATTATCAGCATTCATGAACTGCGAAGTAGGATATGTAAACGAATGAAGGATAGGGTTGAATTATGAACATCAAAATGGTATACAATACCGACAGGTTGTTAGATGAGCTGCAGGTGTACAATAAACTAGCCACTTAGACGACACAACTAAAAACTGATGCTCAAGGCTGGAGGTAAAGTTTTTGGTCGTGTCGCCTGAACGGCTAGTTTGTCGTGCAGCAGCAGCTGTGTGCTGCGACAGCCCTATAAAAACATTGCATTACGGAGATCATAATTGGTCTTTGTCAGACCCCACCGAGCATTGTTATATCATTAGGAAGGAATATAAATCATTTTGCATTATTCAGTTACTTTACACAGCTGCTGTACACATTACGGTAAGGAATATAATCTCAAAAAAATAAAAATTATGTCTGAACTCCAGCAGTTTAGGCGCTGAAGTCTAGTTTATAATACTATTTAATACTATTATTCACAAATAACCCGAAATGACGACCGAAACATCGTCGTAAGCTCCTCTCTCCTATGTGTGGGCTATTTATGTATTACTCTTCGATGCTGAAAATATATGTTACTTTCTTAGTTGTTTCTGTATTAAAATTGAGGAAGTCACTCACAGCAAAACGTTTTCTTTAATTTATGTCCCAAACAATACAGAAGTTTTTATCGACATGCTGTCGGTATCACCACACTATTTACAAGTAGTTGTCGGATACGGTATTAGTGATGAACGTTTTGCAACTAAACTTTCTGTCTCTCCTCCTGAAGTTAGTTTAATATGTTTATTATGCACCCCATACCCATCCTGTGGGGGGTAGTCGAAAGATTACAGAGGTACATAATGGGTCCAGGGACTGGACCCCAAAGTTAGTAAGTAAGTTTATTCAGGTATACACAAATACAGTTACATAGAATTATCATACATAGCAGCATATGTGTAGAGAACCTGGGATAACCCAAAAAAGTCAGACAGAGTGGTCCTTTAATTTCCATTGGGTCCTTTAATTTCCATTGGGGCCCTTTATTTCCATTGGGGTCCTTTATTTCCATTGGGGTCCTTTGATAGCTGAGCAAGTTACAAAGGTAATGAACTCCAGGCAGATCTAGTCACAGTTATGACAAGTTACAAAGGTATTTACAGATTACAGAGGTACATAATGGGCCCAGGGACTGGGCCCCCAAAGTTTTAATAGCTGAACTAGGGATCCTTTCCAAGATACGATACTACGTGCCGCAAAATGCATTTCTCACACTATACCATTCACTCATTTATCCATACCTCACCTATGCTATCTGTGCTTGGGGATCAACTACAGCAACACCTAAAACCAATAATAACCCAACAAAAAGCTGCAGTAAGAATAATCACTAAATCCCATCCCTGGCAACCCCTCCCCCTATTCTTCATAGATCTAAACTTACTCCCTGTTCAGAACATCCACACTTACTACTGTGCAATCTACATCTAGAGGACCTTAAATTCCAATATTAACCTTGACCTAAAACGCTTTCTTGATAGTTGTGACAGGACCCACAGGCATAACACCAGACACAAACATCTCTATGACATTCCCGGTGTCCTACTAAACCTTTACAAAAATTCAATGTATGTCAAAGGC